AGGTTCACCGTCCCATCTCCCTCACTCATGACCACCCCGTGATCGACATTGCCGTTTGTCACGGATGTATCGATGCTAACGTGTAATTTCGACAATGGATCGGTGTCTTCGCGGTAAAAATAGCTTCGCTCCGTGGGCTTACCCACGCCGTAGAAGCAGTAGATTTTTAGGTTAGGGGCCAATGGAAGACGGGCTTCCAGCGGATTCAGCCATTTACGGGGGTCGGCTTCGTTAGCTTCGACCTCGTTACGGGTGGGCGCTACACCGTGGGAGTAGCTGTGCTGTACTTGGTTACGGAACCAGGGCTCCGCATTGTTAAAAAGGAACTTTAGGCTGCTTTCGATCGTGAGGTTTTGCCGTGTCCAAGAGGAATTCGATTCGCGAAAATTGATCATGTTTCCGTATGTGAAGTTCTGACCAGGGACATCGTCAGGCGCCCAGGTACCATTTCCCCATATGGCATCACCGCCTTTTGGAAGCATGCTGGATATGCCGGGCATGGCGCGAAATATCTCTGCGCGTTCTTCTTTCGAGAGGAATTTCTCCAGGCCGTAGACTGCGAACGCGTTGAGTTGGGCTGTGTCCTTCATCTCACCAGACAGGACTGCCGTCAGGCCCTTAGTTGCACCGAGCATGCAGCCGCTCACGTTTATCCACGAGTCGATGTGCTTCTCGACCCATTGAGGCCCTCCGCCGCCATGGCTTTCGTTCTCAACCCATTTGAAGAAGAACATAGCTACTTGCGATCCCATGCTGTGCGAAGCCAAAACGACCTTCTTGTCCGAAAGTTGAACTGCCGCTTCGATGTGACTCTTCAATCTGGTAAAATAATGGTCTCGCTTCTCGAGGTTTAGGTACGAGAGGCGCCAGTCATAGGCGGCCGAAAAGGCGTTGGTTGGATCATAGCCTATCGTCGCCAGGTTCTCCAGGATCTTGTTCCAGATCCAGTATCCGGTTATAAAGAAGTCTGTGGCATCGAACCCCTGAGCTGCGCGAAGTTTCACGCCCGGCGGATCCAACCCGGTCTCCTTATCTAACATTATATGCTGCTTCCAGCCCGATTTATCCAAAACCAAAGCTCTCATCATACTCCAACTTCCCCATAGTCGCTTTCGAAAATATTGTCGAGACTTTTCATCTGTTCCCCAACTCTCCAGGCCAGTCGATATGACCCCAGGGATCATAATAACGGGATATTGGGCGTGAATGCCTTGGGCCTGAAGATTTAGGCCAACGGAAAACGCATCGTAGCTGATCGCATCACGTTCCTGTCTCTAAAAGTTTCACAGAACACAAAGGTCAGTCCACGCGTAAGCATACCAGCAAAAGCTCAGTGTGCAAGCAAGTTTGCTAAGATGCGACCATACCGAAAATTCACTCGCATCTTTCAATATGCCCGCTGGGATAACATCGATCAACGAATCGAGATTCAAATCCATCAATGCATCCAAGCTGATAACTTCATTGTGATTCGCGAAAAAAAGGGCTAGGAAGATGCCGAAGATCCCTCCCAGTCCAAATATCAATCCATTCCGCCGTTTGCTTCTCCGCTTCGTCACTAGCTCTTCCTGCGGTTTTTGCCTCAATGTGACTGTTTGACTCCTCCTATCTTGCGGAATTTCGGTTTTATTCTCCTTGTTTATCGGTGTATTCACGTCGCTATTGCTGGTCTTAAGATGGACGGAGGATGAGGGACCGGGATTCGCGGCAACGGCGGAACGTGCGGCGGAACGGGCGGCGGAAGTGTTTGGACTGAAGATGTCGCCGAATCGTCGCCGAAATGTAGCCATAACGCTGCGGCTTGTCTTAAATCATTTTTTTTCCCCTCTTCTTCTTGTGTTACGAAGCGAAAGCAAATGTGGGTGGTTGTGTGGTTCTCGTCCGTGAGGGAGGAACTGGGCAGAGCTACCCGTTATCGAGGTGGGTGAGAATCACATGTAGGATTGGGACATTGGGGGGCGACGTCTCTGGACAGAGAAGTTGGCGCGTCTCTTCTGGGTCCAGAAGGATAAAATCATCTAGCCAGCGTTCTCAGATCACCGTTACCCCCCTTAAAGTTGCGTCGACAAGAAAATGGATGTATGAACGGGAGTCGATCGGGAGACAAGGGCGAGTGCTACCGCCAACCAACTACAAAGCTAACTCGCTGCGCTTTGTCTCAGAGCCACGGTGAGCCAACCAATCCACGGTCGCAGCTTCGGGTTCAATACACGCAATTACCATAAAATCATGACTCTGAGTGAATTTGCTTACGATGAAGTGCCCTTTGTATTATGCATGGAGTGTCGCGGCCGATTTTGAAGGCCGCCTTTGACGGGAAGCCGTTAAAATACAACTCCGAATTGCATAGACCCATTCTGAAGTAGGACAAGGCCCGGAAGATCAAAGGTTTCCAGCGGTGGTCCCCTCTCCCGTCTTCCAATGTAAAAACTGTGCCGATTTAGATATGAAATGCAAGGAAGCCAGATGAAATGAGGCAGTATATGGAACACCAAAAGCACCTGACCCGCCATCATCCTTAAACCCCGAAGGAACGCCTTCCGAAGATTGGAAACAAGTCAAAAGAGAAAAACCCAGTGTTCTGCCATGTGGTGCGCCGAGATTTGCGTGTGTCGGGCGTCTAAATTGATCGCGTGAAACGGACATGCGTAAAGTGGTGCAAAAAAATCCTGACCTTGTCTAATACACCACACAGAGGAGCTCTGCTTCGAGAATGAACTTTCCTTCCTTGTATTTCTCGGAGTTTTCGTAGGCTTTATCGTACTTCCAGCCCACTGTCTCCTTGCACTGTCTGCAAACTATGTCTCGAACGATGTGCCGGCCGGTTGTCATGCTCCGTTCCACAGCTTCGGCTTCAGTGACGTTGACGACGCCGTTGAAAAGGTACGCTTTGCCATGTTGGCCGCGGAAGTTCTGGAGCAAGAAGCACGTCAGCAGATGCTGCCGTAGAGGTTCCAAAGCAAACAGCAAGTAACAGAAGCGTGGATAGCCGAGGAACATCACTCACCCGACTTATGATATCATGATAGTCGGCAAGATGGGTCTTGCAGTTTTTGCACCCAAATATTTTGGTGGAATTAATGTAGGTGTTGTACGCGAGTCCCATCACGATAGCGCCTCTCCTACCTTCCACGCAATCAAGCCCTCGACCGGGGTTCGTTGGTGCAAGAATAGGAAGGGTTATGAAGGCAAACTAGCTAGGCTTTGCTGTGTTTTAGTAGTAGTAAAGTACGCGAGGTGGCTGAAGGTTTCAAGTGGACCCCGAGGACGATGATTCCGGGAGTCTTAGGGAAGTTGGCTTGAATAAGGCCAGGGGTATGTAACGCTGGTTCAATAAAGCGGGGATTGGCTCAAAATTAGAAAGGACTATTAACTGAATGCACTCAAAATTAGTACCTTCGGGCCCTTGGATCGTTCAACTCGTTTTTTCTTTTTTCTTCTTAGTAAAAGAATGATTTGCTTCTTGTCGATAGGCCACCGGGTAGCTCTGGGGAGGTCTCTGAAGTGAACGATGTGGCCAGAAAGCTTTTGGGCCCTGGTTCGTGTGCTATACGGCAAACAGCTTCGTCGGACCACTTGACGAAGGTGTAGAGTTGAAGAGATGGCGGTTGGGAGTTTGATGCCACCTCTGACGTCTTTGAGAGCAAGATGTGGGCAGATAAGGAGGCAGGGGATGAACGGTGCTTATCAGTCCAGCGATAAGATAGCAGTGAACTAGTTTAACCGGCCAGCAATTGCATGAGAGAGATCCTGCTTTGCTTCTGGACCGGATAGTAAGAACAAGCGGTGGCAGACTGTATTTTTTTCTGCGGTCAGTAACCTTGCGAGCGGGCACAGGCAGCAGCGAGGAGGCGGAGTGGGTGGGAATAAGGTGAGGAGAAAGTGAGGAGGTTTGGGTTACTTTAAGTAGACTTCTCGGAGAAAGTGAGTAGCCGTTGCTGGTGCAACTCAGGCCAGGTCACGCCCACCACTGCTCACCTGAGCATGGAGCATACTTGGATGACGCCAGGAAACATTTAACACAAAGTTCTTGCTTGCTAGCAGAGTTTATGAGATACAAAATACGCAGCGAAGCCCCGTATTATTCCGGATATACACACATACGGAAACATCTTTGAAGGGAGATAACTGCGCCGCAACACCCGCATTTCTCAGACTACAGAGAGGCAATAAGGCGACAGTGGGATTAAATCTGACCCTCCCTAGACGACAGGAGAGGACGGAAAGGAAGATGTATTAGATGGAGATGTTATTTCATATATTTGCTCCTAAGGTCCCACGGCTTGTGCAGATTCACCCCTTGGTTTCGGTTCCTCCACGGCGACCCAACGCCGTTCGCGCAACCCGCACACTGCCCATGATCAAGACCAAGAATGCGCCCAATAATACCTAACGTGCTCAGCCTAGGGCACCCTTCACCGTAAAAAAGGCGGCCCGTGTGTCCGAGCATGGCGTTTTGCTTGGAGTACAAACAACCAGGATCACTTGCTCAACGTTGATCCAAATTCATCGAATTAGCTTCCCAAAAGCGTTTGCAATCAGAGTGGCCCCAGTGCTCGGTCCACCATTCCTCGAAAATATCATCGACGTTCTCGTCGATTTTGGAAACCCTTTCTTCCCGTCGCAGTCCGCAGAGTGCACATGCATGCGGCGCTTTCAATGCACCCTCCTGAGTAGTGGCTGTTCTCACTTGAAGATTACCAGCTACGAATTGAACTGGTGATTTTCCTCCCGCTGAGGCTGCAGAGTTTAAGAGCCCATTGCATTTCTTCCATATGTCAAGGACTTCGACAGCTTCTTTTTCCTCTTTCACATTTTCGCTTTTGTTAACGCTGCTCAATTTCATTCCTCCAGGCCTCCCTGACGCAGGTCCTATCCTGATACTTTGGCTGAGGATCGAGTCTCGCTTCCAGCGTAAACTGCGTCCTGCTATTATGTGTACCATAACTTTCAAGCTATATGTGATCTCTTCGGCTGGGCCAGTGTCAGGCAGAGGCCCGGCCTTTCTTTTGGCCTGAATCGTGTAGTTTCTCGCTTTTACTCGTAGTTTCTCTAATAAAGACGGGAATAGCCGGAGAAGAATAGAAGGAGGGGGAATATTCGTAGGCCTCACCGTTTTGGGAGAACGTGCAACAGTTCGAAATGGAACGCTCGCTTTTGTCTTTGGTACACCGGATCGCGGTGCTGACGGCGACTGTACTTGTTGCATTGGTAGAGTGGCAGTTTCTAACATTCTTGGAAGGTCTCCTTGCTTGCTTTCAGCGTCAATGCCATCAGTGAACTCCCCCCACTCATCCTCTTCTCCAAAATCTGGCCATGCTGTAGTAGGCTCGGAGTCTCCTTGCTCCTGTTTGATAGGATATCTATCATGGACATTGCAATCCAAGGCTAACGGGGCTCGGTGCGGGATTTGTGGCGGAGGACTCGAGTCTTCAGTGGATAAAAGATCCAATAGGGGCATTTGGCGTGGTTTCGAAGCTGGAATACTCAGCTTATCCTGAGCACCATGGTGGATTACGAATTCAGTCGGCTTAATGCTATCCTCAAAACGTTGGACGGGCTCGTCGTTTATGAACTCAGACTTTGCAGACTCGAATTCCCCCCATTCATCTTCAGTGGCTTCATTAGATGCAATTTCAGTCGATGCATCAAACAGAACTTCATTCGATCCGGCTCCAGATACACTCGTATCTTGTATAGCCTGAGAGAAAGGTGATGGGCGCGGCTCAGAAGAGAAGTCAATGAGCGTAGAGTTACCAGCAGCATCAACTACTGAGTTCCATGTTTTGGGGCGATTCCCAGAACTCGATGACCCGCTATTCGAATTTGACGATACTTTCACCGAGTTATCGAGAGTTTTTGGATTGCCGAACGCCGCGAAAAGATCTGCTGACATTCTTGACTTGTGGTGGTTTTTCTGGAAGAGGGGTTGGAGGTCAGGATCGACGTCGTTGACTTATCGACCTCGTATTTTTCTCGTGGCCCTGACTGTTGCTGCAGGTTCAGCTGGGCTTGGCTACATCATTCGAAGATCGACTTGAAGCTCAAGCCTCCCTTCTGATTGCTGCTTCTCCGTACGGAGTACTCTCAGTAAAATATGGAGAACGCGACTCTGGGGAATGCGCCAAGAAAGCCATCGGACGCTAACGAGCAAACGGGGCGACAGCAAAACTGCGTTTCGGGGGTTCCACCAGCGAGTTGTTCAGAGAGTTACATCGCCCATTTCAGAAAAGGGAAGTGGAATCAACTGTCTTCGAAACAGCAGATGTGACATCGGCGGAGTGCCTATGATGCCATGAGAACTGCGGAGGAGTCGCGGTTAGCAAGCTCTTTGACCTATCGCTGCAAAGTTTCCGAATCTAATACCACCTCTCTAGCCAGCGATGGGACACTCTGTTCGATCAGCACCAGTGCGCTTCACTGGAAGAGCTGTGCCAGAAATTGAAATCTAAACTCCATGGAGATCCCTGTGAGGATGGACTGAGATCTATTTGTTGGAAGGCAAGTGGCCTTATCGAAAAGCCCCTTTTCTCGCCCCGTCTAACGATCTGTGATAGGCATTTCTCGTCCACAAAAACGTTGATCGAGAGTCATGGCCCACACAACTTTCGGACACAAGGGGAGCGTATACCGCGCTGAAAGATCATTTCATGAAGTACATTGACCACCCGGATGATCTGCCGTCGGCGGCGGATCCATTGGCTGAAGATGACAATGTATGTGCTACCCCGTGAAAAGCAGCAAATGAATACAGCAACCTAAAGCTAGTCGCAGTCTCCCTGGCAATCTCTCCGGCAAGATGAAGCTATTCGAACTGAAATATACCAGGATGTAGAGAGGTGTCTCCAGGAAAACTATTTCTTTCGGGAACCAACAACGAAGAGAAGAATGTTGGACATCTTATTTATCTTCGTCAAGTTGAACCCGGACCTCGGTTATCGACAAGGGATGCATGAACTTCTGGCACCGGTGCTATGGGCTGTTTGGCAGGATGCAATTGAAAAAGATTCGGTCTCTGAAGATAATTTACCAAGCAAGGACCGCGAGCTCTTATTGCAAGCTTTGGATTCTGACTACATGGAACATGATGCTTTTGCAATTTTCTGCGCAATTATGCAGACAGCGAAACTATTTTATGAACACGACGAAATGAAATCGAATTCGGACCAGCAAAACGTCTCTTCGATCATTGCTCGGAGTCAACGCATCCATCAAATCCTCCTAGGTAGCGTTGATCCGGAATTGATGTCTCACCTTCAAACCATTGACATTCTGCCGCAAATATACCTAACGTGAGTTTCTCCCTAGAAGTTAGCTAACGCCGGAAACTTACTGATTGTAGGCGTTGGCTCCGTCTATTCTTCGGGAGGGAATTCCCTTTTGAAAATACGCTTTCCATGTGGGACTTGATGTTTACTGATCTCCGACCAGAACTCGTAGAGCTAGTATGTGTTTCAATGTTGATAAGGATTAGATGGCAATGTAAGATGCACCCTTTGTCTATACTTTGCACAATTGAATCTAATAACCCTCCAAGTATTGTCATGCGACTATTCGTCGGCCCTCGCTTTGCTGTTGAGATACCCTTCCCCGGAGCCTCATAAACCTGAGGTTTTCGTTCTTGACGCTTTATTCTTGGAAGAGAATATGACGTGGGATGGCGCGTCGCTATTGATCTCAAAGTATACAGGAAAATCGCCAGATCTCAAAGGCCGGAACTTGCGATACCAAACAGTGCCTACAGCTTCACAGAAAAAGAACCTTTCCAGCAGGGACCCCAGCTCCCGTGCTAGTGAGGATAACTCGCCAAGCAGGTCGCCACTTAGAATAAATCAAAAGCGTCTTGATTCTTTATTTCAAGACGTATCGGACGGTATTTCTCGACGGACAGAGGCATGGGGAGTCGCCAGAGCCGTCCGCGGGGCAATGATCGAAGCCAGGCGCAATATACAAGGCATCCATTCCGGCCCTGCCACCCCCGGACTACCTTTTGAAGAAGGCCCAATCTCCAAGTTATCCATACCGTCCAAGGTTGAAGCTGCTGCGCCTCATGAGCTGAGTTTGAAGGTAGCCTCTCTCAAAAACCGGAACAAAACCCTAGCAAACCTACTTGGAGATGCGTTAAAAGATTTACGAGCTCACAACGGAAAATTGGATGACGTCTCTCGGGACCAATCTACTAGAGATGTTGACGAAATAATCAGAAGAATCGAACGTGTGCAGAAGTTGCTCCAAGATTCGTCGCTCCCCATCATAGAGAAGAGGCGAAAAAGCAGCACCAAAGTGAATAGTTCGACGGCATCCAAGGCCTCGCATGCGGAGACACACGATGAGGTACTGGCCGAGAAGAGTGAACAACAACTTGAAACTGACTCAGGCTCAACGTCAGCGCCGCCCACGCCATTGAACTCCAAAGAATCGAAACCCCATAACCTAATCAAACCGATGCCAATTCGACCTGTTCCGCGTACCTCCTTGGCAGAGTCGTCGTTTTCGTGGATGCTGGGAGAGGATGACCGCCGTTCGGCTTTTGCGCCCTGTGCATCAGTTCCGCCCGAGCACCTGCGGAGACATGAGCTTCAATCAAAACCGGGTCCGCTCTTTAGAGATCAGCGTAGCGATGATAAGCGGAAGCGGGCCAAAGAAGCGGAGAGTGATGGCCTCGTTTTAGATCCGTTGCAAGGAAAATCGGAGGAGTGACGATATGGCTTGGACCATGGTCGGGGTTAGCTGCAATAATACTCGTCTTTTTGATCCCACTCTTTTGCAGTGGCTTAACCCTCCGTTTCCCGTTAGGCTGTTATTGATCCTGAACAGAAATTCACAGAAAAAGGGCTCCAGATTTACTCCCTCCAAGTGCTCCCTCATCGAAGTCCGATATGCTGGAAATCCCACTGTTGAAAGCATGCTTACCAGAAAATTCCAGGATGTGCTACCTTCTATGTATTTCAATCCAGTCCAGGTGGGTAGTTAGCATAAGGAACCGATCTCTTGAATCCCAAGGTGCTGGCAAACGGCCTTTTTTTCGCGGCCTCCTGATGTAACACCTATTACGTCAAGACACGGAGATGCGATCCTATGAGAGCTCCACACTCCAGTGCATCTCCCGATCCTCTGAGAGGCTTTCTCAAACATAACTTGCATGGAAATCCATGGCATTCGGGCGCTACACGTGCCCGTACAGGTCCATCGAGGGAGTGGTGGGCGAGGTACTTGAAACCTTGTAGTTTTGGCGGGGTAATTGGCAGAGAAGCTACCTGGGCGAGAGTAACAAGGTGATGAGCGGCTTTGCCCCGCATGTACCTATTTAACTAGGCGGCTGTGCTCTCCTCCAGCTGCTCCGACGACTTGTTTTCTTGTAGAATGGATTGGGTTGAAAGCAATTGTGTGAACCAAGAGTCACATTCCAAAGCTACCTGAACCCACCGGAGCTGAGCAGAATTCGCCGTCAATGCAAAGTTGAAGAGGCACACGGCCTTGGCCAATCAGCCTGTCGTTAACTGCGGCGTCAATATCAAATACGACCTCTCTCCCTCAGGAAGAGGTGTCCTTCGCTGACATCCACCACACTGAGTAAATTCTTTTTTGGTTATTATTTGACGATAGACATTTCTGCGAGTCATTTTATGTGGCTGCACCCATCACCTGCCTGGCTGACTTGCTGCCGAGCAGTCAGATGCCTCTTGCAGTTTCTTCACCAGCCTCACCCGTAACATAATTGCTACATAGGTTCGCCAGCCCTGCATCTAAGACATCCAGCCTCAATCCATACAGTGACGCCTATCGCACCACAAAATCAAAGCTCTTGCCATGCAGTGAAACCTTACCCAGCCCGCCGCAGTTCCCAGAGCTAACCTCTTTTGTCTCCAACAGAGCAATAAGGCGAACTTCCAGAGCACTCGAAACACCCAGAGCTGCTAGCTGGCCTTTCACATCAAAATTCCCAGGATAACAGTTGCATCCTGATGCCATGCTTTCGTGAAGTCAAGGCCTTCGACTAGATATTCCGTGTGGATCGCTGAGCTCACCTTCTTGTGGGCGGCTTTGCCCCCATTCCGCTACCTTGCCGGTCCTCTTCCCTAACCATAGCCAATATGGACCCTGGGCCCCTACAGTCCGGCGATGGTTAGTGCTATCTTTTTTTCGTTCTCATATCCGCCCCTTTCCTCACTTATACAACTGGAGAGTATGCATCGATATTCCGGAAGCAACTCGAATCGTTTCAGTTGCTCTGACTGTAATCTTAATCAATGTCTAATCATGCTGGAAGGCAGCACCATTCTGCTGGCCAGAACGTCCCCTTAGCACGGACACGAAAAGATAAAGATGCACACTATTCGCCAGAGACACCGAGGCACCATGGATTGCTCTTTTAGCTTTACTCCGGGCGCTTTTTATTCGCAGAGCTTGAACTGACTACTCGTTGAAATAGGCGATCAGAGCCGTGCATCAGCCGACCGGACACCGTTGTGCTCAGCATCCGAAATGTCAACGCAGAAACCGGAACCGTCGTTGAGCAAACGGTCATCATTATACCTCGAAGACAGTGGGCTTGGCCAAAGCAAGCGTCTATCCATCGATACCGGGTCGTCGGAGTATGATTACCTGACAAGGTCAGAACCCAGTCACCTTCGACTTTAACCCCGATGGGAGCCTAGGAAAGGGTTAATATATGTCACCAGGTCGCCGTTACTCGAACCCGACCATGCGCCTGCGCCATCAGGCCTACCGCGCATTCGACAAAGACCCCAAAGCAGAGCCCCCTCCCTCCCTTTGACATCTGCGTCGTCCGGTGCGTCCGCACTAATGACCCCGGCTCCATCAATTGCATCCTCCGCAGTTTCGGCTTTTCCACCAGATACCGCTTCTCCCGAGCTCGAAGATCTTCACAGGTTT